AGGGGCCACGTGTTTTTCTTGGGTGTTTGTTTCTAATGTCCATCTCGCAGTCGGAGCTTGAACTTTAAATGTCACTTAGAGTTCAGGTTTGAGAGCGGTCAGTTGCATGTTGCAATAACTTTCAGCAAAGCCCAGATTTCTCCTTTTAAAATGGGGTAGGCACTACAGAACGCCCGGCGCGGGGCTGAGACCTACAGCAGGGGAAACGTAGTGCTCTCTGCGTTCTGGTTTGTCATCTGTGTGTCTTTTGTTTATTCTGAGGAAAAGTGTTCAAAGGTTCAGAACACTTTGACAAAGAAAGGGAAATTTCCACTGCACATAAAGAACTCTTAAGCAGACCTAACATATCAGAAGGTTTTATTCATCATTATGGAACATTCACTATCACAGAGGACTAAATGCATAGCTTATCTCTGTGATAAAAAGGCCAAATGAATTCTTCATAACTACATTCACATTAAGGGGCATTGTGTGATGCAGGACTTTGACACCACACTTGCTTAATCTCATTATTTATTAGACTATTATAAACTGTTTATTCATTGCCAACAACTGGGACTTTGTGTCGGGATTGTTAAACACAGAAGTCTTCTTAAAAATCATAAAAGTATTAAAAAAGTCACTCAATTTTAACATTACAGTGGGAGTCACTTAAAGTTAGACTCCATACTGGACAAGTTTTAGCACAACAGTGACAGCGTATGCAACAGAACAAGGGTCGACCGATTACTGGATCAGTCATCTGACGCAACCGGCCGTCCTATCACAGGGCAAAAGTCAGCACGCACAGCAAGTCAAGTTTTTAATGGTGAAACTACAGGACAAAGCTCTTGATGAGTTCAAAACAGGTTTAGGAGTGCACAGAGAGCTTTAAAAATCAAAAATGAAACCGACTGCGTTTAAAGAGCCACATGTTGATGGTTACAGTGCGGCGCGCCTGCTGCTGTAGTCTTAGTTCAGAATTTGCTCAGTCAGAGAGTTACTCAGGAAACAGTCATTGCACAAACGGTGCCAGTTTAGTGTGAGAAAACTCCAGCCAGTTATCCTTGTGCAAACATCCACACACACTTGTATACATGCCTGCCTGAACTCTTGTCATCCAGCGGGCATTCTTTTCCCTCTTTAGTTCAGAGCCATTTCTGTTTTGCTTTTGTAATTAAATTATTTTGTAAACACAGTCTAATCCATCTCCACTTCACAGTGAAACGCGATGAAGCAACGCAGGCTTCGTCGCTTTTAGAGGACTGTCACAGATGTGGGCAGCCCTTCTCTAAAGGAAGATCAGCTTTTTCTGGGCTCAACGTTGAAGAACCTGACCTGTGCTTATCTGCAGACTTGTTGGGAGCAAACAGGATTAAATACCTTGTGGGGAAAGTGGTTCTGTCTGGTTGGGATTCTTTGTCAGAACCGCTAAAAGACCACAACATATGCAGGTGAAATGCATAAACAAAAAAAAAAAAGGAATAATTGGACCACATTTTTTATCATCAAACCGGCTTCGTGTGATTGTGATCATCTTCCTATGAGCTTAAAATGTCCCCCCACATGGAAGGAGAACGTGGATTCTTTAAAAGAAAACATGTTATGCAGACTGAAATAGGAAGCAATCAGAGTCCTGCGCATGGGACACACTGTAAACTTCCTGTCCCAGGAATTGACATGCCTGACAGAAGCAGCCAGAAACAACTGGACACGCGGGAGACTGCACAATATTCTTAATCACAACAATAACAAAAAGATACAGATCACGCAACAAAACTGTCTATATAACTCCCCAACAAGTAACCAACTTTCCACCAGTTACACTGTGAACTGCCTGAGACGTAACTGTAAAAAGCCCAAAACTGTAAATGAACATATATCCACCTACTGTAGAGGAGCCCGTCATACTTTGATCAACGAGATGTTCCCATCCTTAAACTGCCATTGGGAAAACGAGAGCAGTCCAAATAAACAGTTACAACTGTAGCTTGGCTTAACTCTGCATGTAAATGGACTCCGATTTACCTTTCAGATAAGGGGAGAGCGTAACTTCAAACACTTGAGGCGATGCAAAAACAGCGTTTGTAAAAACAACATTAAACTTGTGCCAGCACTGTTTTTTTAAGAGCTTTCCCCAGGTATGCTTTCCATTTATCCGTAGGCAGATATGACTGAGGTCCATCGCATCACTTGTTCACTGAAACAACAGTGTCGCAGCCAAACTGCAGCTTGACAACATGCCATGAAACATCGAGAGTCAGTGCTGTGACAAGTACCATGCACCGCCAGGTGGGCAGAGTGACGCAGGCGGAGCTGCTCAGCTGGTTCCACGGGACGCGCTCCTCCAGCATTACACACAGAAGCGCTGACACTCATTGAAATGACACAAGCTGTCTGCCAGTATAGTGCCCAAGCAGTGGAGCAGAAGGGCCCTTTAGAAGGAGAGCGCCGCACTCCAGACACAGGCACAACACACCAGAAAAACCTCGAAGCAACACCCCCCCCCCCCCACACACACACACCGCCACTCGCAACGCCAGATTAGTGTGTTCTGTGTCCAGAAAGCATCATCTCCATTCAGCTGTGGGTCCAGCCAGGGCTGCAAAGCGTACCAGAAGAGCATCAACAAAGCAAGTAGAGCATGCACAATACTAACACTGCAGAATGTGACGGGGGTCAGGAAAGCAAAACTAACCCAAACCCGTTTACTTCTGTTTAAAAAACAGGGAAACTTGACAAAGGCTATCTTAAACAAAAAAATATCGATAAAGCTTGCATTTGTTTCAATAAAATAAGGCAGCGGGACGACTATGTGGTTGGTGATCATTTTAAATGTGAGCTCAGAGAGCAGCAAACCCAGATTTGAGTGCAATCAGAAGCAAGGGGGGGTGGGGGGGGGGGGGGGTAAAAACTCTATTATGCTCTATTAGGTCACCAGCGTTTGCCTGCAGTGGTGGAAGAGCATTACATGAATACAGTGGTGTTTAAGTGAGTCAACCACTGAATCAATCTGCCTAATTTCCCTGCCAAAGCGTCCATCAGCATTTGCGCTGAAAACAGTTGGAAACCGTTTGATTTCACAAATAATGGTGTGCAAAAGAAAAATAGGAGGGGGGAAAAATGACATGCAGGTGCACGATTTCTGAAATACACGTACAAGTAGTTTCAGTAAGCTATAAGTTTCATATTAGTTTCGGCCTGGTAGAAGTGTGCGCCCCGAGGTTCAACCGCTATTTGAATCTCTTTAACGATTGCACTTATTTGAGAGATTATTTCGTACTTTTTCAGGATTGCTTTAACTGCTGGCACATAGCTGGGTTCTCGTTGTGTCCACCGTGTGTCTAAAACCGTCAGGAGAACGTGACGGACACACATTTCGAGTGAGCTAGGGCATTAGTTGAAGTTGGAAAGTGCTAGCGTCCAGGCTGGTTACATCTTTTACGGGCACTTCGACAACACACGGCGAAGCCTGGCAAACATGGGAAACATCAGTTCAGCCAGAAAAAGAGTCGCTGTGCAACCCGAGCGAACCCGAGACATTTCTCAAAACGTAGCAAATAGCAAAGCGGTTGGGGTCAGCACCACAACAAACGGGGTTCGCAGCCCGCTCAAACACATGGGTGCTGAGGGCAGCCTCGGCTTCCTCGTATTCCTCCAAAGGAGCGAGGCTAGCCCCAAGCTACACTGCTAGCATGCTAACTACGTTCCTGCTAAACTGGCGAAGTTCGTCCGGTGTTGTGGGTACCGTAACTCGCTAACTCAGCACAAAAAAAAAACAATGACACATGAAAGTATGGTGCACGCCGTGTTCGACTCTTACATGCGAACGTGCCCCAAACAAATGGAAACGACACTCAAGCCGTGCAACAACTCCTTTGCAGGCGCAGGGTCCGCTCGGTCTAGTTGAGTTTTGCTGCAGAAAACACAACTGACACGGGCAAGCGAGCTTAGCCAGAAGCTAACGCTGGCTAAAAAAAGCTAACGCCGAAGCGAGAGCCTCTGCCAGACAGACACACAACCGAGATTGAAGACCTCTCGCGCACGAATCGTGGATTTCACAACGAAAACACCACGTCTCGCCTCTCCGTGGAGCACAAATGCGTGCGGCTACTTACGATTCGATACTTTTCGCGGAGTCCTCGCGGTTAAATCCCGTTTATCCGAGGCAGCTCTGACCTTCGCGGTAGTGAAACATTTCTGCTGGCTAACTGTGCCGCCATGTTACTCCTGCTCTGCAAACCAATGCTGAGTGTTTATCTGGCTGGAAGCAGCTATCCTCCCCCACACCAAACCACATCACGGGGCTCGAGCTGTATCAACTCAGTTACCGCCGGGGGGGATCGCATGCAGTCCTACGGCGGTTTACCTGCGAGGATTAAGGCACTTGCAGTTTGATTAATCAGCATCACTCCGGCGACATTTAATCTCGACAGCCACAGGCACCGACTCGACTCCTCGCGCTGCCGATATCGATAATGTTTTGATACGCGATACTATTGAAAAGATTAACTAACTAACCCCTCACCCCCCCGTCCGTTCACTATTATTTTTCTAGGGGTGGGGGGGGGGGGGTGAATTGTACACAACTCATGACATCAAATAAATGAGCATGATTCACAGAGATGTGTGGAAATTTGAGCTCATAAACGTTTTTGCTGTCGTAAAAATGAGTTTTGCTGCAAGATGTTGTTCGGGATTGGTAAGAGTTCAAATTTAGCAAATTTGGAAAACATACCCACTCATACACACACACACACACACACACACACATATATATATATATACACATACACATACATATATATTATATAGAAAAAGAAACAAACGTGACCAACTCAAAAGGTGCAACAGGGGACTACATTTGTTTTTAAAAAATGACACGTTTCTCGCTATTTTAGGAATTTCACATTTCTTTCCTTGTTGACCTTGACTTAAAACAAGCTGTGGAAACCCTACACAGAAGAGTGTCCCACTTATTTCTGCTTTCTTGATTTACAGTCTGGTCATCTGTCCACGGATCAGAGCAGCCGGAGTCCTCTCAGCTGAACCCGGGCCAGCAGCGCCCCCCTGTGGCGGGGGGGGGAGAGGCTTCCATTCGGGGCTCAGGTCGTGTCCCCAATTTACTGTGCTGGATTTTCAACACAAATGTCGCCGGCCAAGAAGCGAATAAACGGTCTTAAAAGCCAAAGGTGAATTGTATATCAGGGGTTTATTATTGTTGAGGTGGAAGGATTTTGTGGGCCCTCGTCCCACCTTGTATTCTGGCAAAAGATGGGCTGAATAAGTGTAAACTACTATGATTGAAAAAGAGTTGAACTTAAATGTGCAGACATGCTACTTGTGTCTTACAATAATTCCTGGGTACTGTGTAATGGATCACTTTTCTCCAATAAATCGATCTTCTTTTAGATTTCGCAGAGAACAGGAAATCTGAAGAGGTGAGATAAGGTCTTCTAAGGGTATCCAGAGCAAAGGAGTACGACCCAAATAGCACCCACACCAATGTGTACCCAAACCATAAAACATCAGACATAAAGAACTCAAGACACCTAAGCCTTAAGAACACGTGAGCATCACTGTTGTTGCAGGAAAGTCTGTCAACTAGAAGCAGACATTTCTGCTGCCAGTATGTTTAAGGTGTGCTGCACTGATTTAAGATTCAGACGATTTTGCAACTGATTCAAACAAGAGAAAGTTGGATTTTAATTCAGATCAGGCTTTAAGAATTCTTATAGTGAATCACCTTTTTAAACATAAAAATGGTGGTAAGAAATATGTTTTATGGTTTTGTTTAGTTTTTTAGCCATAATGGGACTCCAAGACTAAATCTGAGACTGAACAGTAATCTATGATTTCCTGGCATTTGTTTTGAGTTCATCAAACAATCTCATTGCCCCAAATAACAACAACAGGCAGAGTTCAGAAATTTAGACTTGCAGCGCTATGGGCCACCGTACATGTGACCACTTGTGTTCTGGCAATAGCAACTTTGTGCGAGTAATCCTCTTCTGTTGTGTTTGCCGTAGAAAGCCTAACAATCAATGGCATCCAGGCACTAATGAACGATACCGCCTCAAACCTTTCCCAACAGTTTATGCTGCGTTGTATCGAGGATTTTTTATGGAGACTCTTTTAGCTACACTGGTGCCAGTTTTACTATTTATTTCAACCAACGTGCACAATCACTCCAGAATTCATTCAAACAGAATGCAGCTTTTATTTCAGCCATCAGATGAACATGGTCCAGGAGCACTGGGGACTCAACAACCGAATCGTTCTGAATTCTCACGTTCAGACAGTAAATGTCATTTCTTTACAGGACTAACCGTCAGGACGAGCAGAGGAAACAACTGAGTGCCTAAAACTATCTCATGGGTTTAATTCTTTAGTTTATGCGTGTGTGGCCTAAATCTTAAAGGTGTTGGCACTTCATTGCTTGGTGGCGTGTAGGGAAAAGGCAAAGGGTCAGCAACAGTCTACCAGGGTCAACAGTGGGTAACGCTAAACAAAATGAAAGCATGTTTAAGTCGCAGTCTGTGCTTTTACAACAAATCACTCTTGCTGACATATTTTTTTCCTTTTTTTTTTTTTTTATAAATTTAAGCAGTCATTTAATCACCAAACAAACACTATTAACTCATTCCACTCACACATTAAGAAAGCCTTTCAGTCTAAACTTGCTAAATTGATGTTTTTTTCCCCATTTCTTCTGATTTCTTAAAACACAGACTGTCATTACCAGCATCACAGATACAACCGCAATAAATCCCATTCAAACGCGTTCCGCTTTGATAAAGCTACTACTCAAATGCTACATCAGGTTGGTTTTTCTTTACGGGCAGATCTGGACAATACTGACATTTGCCTGTACTTTAATCATAAGGTCTCCTACTGTTCTTGGCTGCTTTCATTAACTATTAGAATGAAACTGATTGTGTGATGTACCTTATAGTCTACTCACTGGCGTATGACAATGGAATGATGTGGTGAATATGTTTGCGTTCTAATCGATGCCGTTCAAACTATTGATTGCTCAAGAATGGAAATCATAAGACTTTAAGCAACATCCTCCCACAGAAAAAAAGGGGGAAAAATGGCAACTACCTAAACATATGGAAAAAAAACTTTCAAGAGGACAGGAGCCAGCAGCAAAGAAGAGGAGCAGAGCTAGCCCTTATAAATACAAGGAAAGACAGGAAATAAATGGAATACACAGTATTTGAACAAAGCAACAAACGACCTGAAGAAGAGGGAGAGACAAACACTGATGTGATCATTCTGGAAATGTTAAAATTACACTGTACAAAACAATCTGTATCAATAGGCACTTTAAATAGGGACTCGTTTTTTTTCTTTTTCCTGCAGTTTATTTTGGTGTTTGTGTGATTTTTTTAAATCCCCATTCATGTTGGCATGGCAGGGCAAAGATCGGGAATCACAGGTGTGCTGGACCACTGGCGGCGAGCAAAGCTAAACGGTCCCTGGACGTCCAGCCTGGATGGCAGTCCTGTGTGAGAGCTGAAAACACACACCAGGTCAGGGAGCTGGAGTCAGCTGGCTGGATAAAGCCACAGAGGCCCAAGGGAGATGGTTCTTAAAGATAGGAGGGAGTAGGGAAGGCTTGAGGGAATGTTTTCTATGAGGACTTCTCTTTTCTTGCCCTTGGTGAATCGGCTCCGTGAGAGTTCACTCCGTTTACTCCATTAGCTAAAATAAATAAATAAACAAACAAAACGAAGAGTTTAACTACCTTTAAAGACAAGGGAGGCACAGAAGCCTTACATTCTTACCAACTTGTGATCTTTGGTTTATTATGATAGATGGTCGATTTAGGTTTAGTTCTGCACGTTCCTTTCCAACCAAATGATCTCTTACCTTTGTCTTTCTTTGATTTGCTCTTAGGGGCGGCCTGTTTCTTTTTCAAGCTCTGAGCCTGGGCATGCTCTCTCCATCGGCGCAACTGAAAGTTGATAAACTTCCACATCATGAAGGCCTGCGTGAGGCAGATGGCGGCCAGGACAGTTACCCTATCGGACAGAGAATGGCTGTTAATCGTCTTTAAAAAAAAGACCATTTCAGAGTCTTCTCAGAAAACTTCTTCTTTTCTGTACAGAACACACTGTGGTTTTACTGCATATCACTTAATTCAAGCCATCCTTCACTTCCTCTTCTTATAAGACTTCTTCTTATGAGGTTAAAAAAACAAAAAAAACAACCACAATTAAGTTTATTTTAGGCTGAGAAAGGTTCCCAACTACAATAACTTAACTGTTTGAGTGCCAGCCAAGTTTAGAAGTTGGTAAAAAAATCCCTAAACGCTACAGAAAAGATGCTTCCTTTAGTGTCAACTGAAGGAAAGGAAACAAGGATATGAGAACAGGAGGTTCAGTGCTCTAGTGAATTGTTCATAAAAAAACAACAACTAATTATTATTTAAAAAAAAACTAAACTATTTAAAATGCAATTATTTGATTTTGTTCTTCTTTTTTTTAAATCATAAAACACTGGCCTCTTTCTCTCTTCGCATTCACTTACCGAACAAAGACAACATTAAAGTTGCCAGTGGCCAAATCGAAGCCTTGGTTCTCAGCTGTGGAGAGGCCAAAGCCAACCGTGAGGACCGACAAGGACAGGGTGAGCAACCGCCCCAGCACAAACAGGACGGCCCATATGGTGAATCTGTGAACACGAGGAGGGCGATTGAGACGGCGAGCTCAAGACTCTCATTCCAAAATTGACATTTCGGCAAATCTGAGCCAAAACTCACCCCATTTGTCTGTTCTCGTTGCTGAAGTAGACCAGGCGGGACACATGAAACAGGAGCTCGACAAAGTAGTGCAACACCAACAGGACCAGGCCCAGACGGTTCAGGCTGCAAAACAAACCAAGGCAGCATCTTTAGACACAGAGACCCAGTACCCACTTTCTCCCAAAGGCCGACATGCAAACAAAACCTCCACAAATGCACACACTTAACGTCGGCCTGCCTTAAGTGGCAGCTCTTACTTCAGAATGTAGGCGCCAGCGATGTGGGCCAGGTACAGGAAGACGTACACAAGCTGGCGTGGAACATCCTCCTAAACGATAAACACGAAAAACGGGAGGCCAAGAATGGTCAAAATATTTACAGCAGCGCGGCTCAGAGCGTTCATTTAAGCCAGGCAAGACCCAGGATTTGAAACAATGCCACATGCCCAAGGAAGTAAAACAGGAAAAAGCCACAGGGGCCAAAACAGAAGGCACAGGACGTCATCTATTTCCACAACGATGACTCAAACAAGCCCGCTTACTTTTTTCGTCTTTTGGAAATAGAGCTCTGGGAGAGCATGAAGCCAGTAGCCCAGCTGACAAATGTAGTAGAATTTCATCTGGAATCTGAAAGAGGCCACAAATGAAGCCGTTAATACGACCCATTTCTTTTCCCTTTAAAGTCCTCTTTAAAAAGCTGTTCGGTCCAAACACACAGTGGAAACTTACGGCATCAGTGTGTGGGGATAACCCTCCCACAGGGTGACTGGATTGGACAGGAACTTTTCCTAAGAATAAAAAAAAAGAAAAAAAAGCCTTTTAAATACTTCAACATGCTTTCAAATCTAAACAAACAAAAGCAGCGTGGCTAACTTGATTACATACAGACAGCAGGATGCTTGTTCCCCAGCCAAAGGAGAATAAGTAGAAGGCGCTGAGCTGGCCCGACTCATTAAACTTGCTGTGCTTGGTTTTGGAGAAGTGCTTCTTTCTGTTGAGTTTCTGCAATGACGAACAACAACGAGTTGTAAAGAGAACACTGAACATCAAAGCTTTTCCAGTCCGTGCTTAAGAAAGCCCCGTACTTACGTCGAGCACGTACTCCTGAATGATGGCATGCATGATGATGGCCACCAGCATGTAGAAGAAGATAGTAGCCAAGTCCTTGATGCCGTGGTGGAAGTGGTTGACAGCAGTCTCCTCTGGGGCCTCTGTGACACGAGCCAGAAAATCCGCTTTAGCCAAGGTGAGCCATTCACAATGAAAATGTGGGATGCAACACCATTAGAAACTGCCAAGTCGCCATCGAAACAAGTGATTGATACATTGAACCAGCGAGGCTGTGCTTTTAGCAGCGAGTGTCATGTAGGCAGATGCTCTCCAACTTTATAAGCGTAGCACGAGTGGTTCTCCTGTGCTAAAGGGTTTGTGAAACTACATGAAGATAATCAATCCAGATGCTTGCAAAAATCAGTGATACAGCAGCCTCATTTATTTGCCCTATTAGATACAAGCTGTCAATATGCTAAAGGGGCAAGTAAGTGGTAAGGTATCATATAAAAATATATTTAAAAATTGAAAATCACTAGCTGGATGCCTGTGCAACACAGTACCGAGGCCCTGTGTTATTTCCAGTACTGAGTGAGGAGGTACTGAAAGCTGGCAAAGAATATGTTAACCTTGAAAACAGTTGGGACTTTGAGTTGTGAGGCCTATATTACACCTCAGCACAAATTCACCCTGCACAACCTGGCCACAAGAGAACTTCGAAATCAGGCAGTCTAAATTTAGGTCCAAATGGGGGAGCAAAAAAAAAAAAAAAAAAAAAGAAAAAAATTTTTTTCTGAAATGAGCAAGCAAGTACAGAATCCAAATGAGAGGCTTCCAGTAAGAAACCTCAAACAGAGAGCTGGATCACTTGCTACACCTACGAGTCAAACATCATTTGAAAACAGCCATTTTCACAACAACCCAGAGTTTCACTCACCGTTTGTGGAGATGGTCACATTGTACTGTACAGTTATGAATAACACTGCAAACTTCGAGGTGACCTGTGGAGAAATTATAACAGTTTCAGCTGTAACTGTGTATTCAGACAGATTTGTTCTTTATTCATGTTGTCCTGAGAGAAGGATAAAAAGTTTGAGATTTTTTGCATGCCCTTTTAGTCTTGTAATGACAAAATATCAGCATAAATCGCGTTTGTGCTGTAATTAAGAGGTTATTAAGATAGAAAAATAAAGCACAAACATAACAAATGTCAAAGCACGTTCAAAATTCCTATCCAGTTTAAGGATACTTTATTCAAAGGCTTTTTTTTATTTTAAAAGCAACACGCGAGGGGATGGGAGTGACTTTCTATTAGCATAAAATGCTACATCAAGGCAGTGAAACAGTGGGGGATCAGTCAGCAACAAAAGAGCTGCGTGGGCGACAGAATTTCTGTCACACATAACGAGAATGTACTCACGGTTGGTCAAACTTTAGCTGTGAAGCTCGCACGACTACTTTCAAATAAATGTTGCGGCAACAAAACCCGTCTCAGCAGCCGGTGTCCGTACGACACTTTATTCTGAAACACCGACCGGAAGCGGCGTCGGCCCGCAGCTAAAACACACGTCTCCCCAACTCCAGCGATTTTAAAAAAGGGAGCTCCGTCTGAATTATTACATCGAAGTGCATCAAGTTCTCGAAAAGTTGCCAACCCACCGCATTAGGCAGCATTTAAGAAACCATTAAGTGGCAACTCGAACTTTCCGTTCAGGAGGAAGCGGCTCTCTCCCGGTGACAGCCCTCTATCGCTGCACGATTGCCACGTAACACATCGGCGCATAAACTAATCGAGACGAGTATTGCAAAATATCCGAGGCACTTAGACGAATCCACGCTCTCAAACGTGCAACACACTGAGAATATTGCGAAAATGTGTCTGCGTGTAAACATATGTGCCATTCTCTCCGTTTCCTTTTGATCTTTTTTTAAGTGGGATCAAACGGCGGGCCCCATGATCGCTGATGTGAAATATCGATTTGAAGCCTGGAGGTAACCAGATGGAGAGTAAACATTAGTCTTTGCATCGCTTTAAAAGCATAAATTAATTCAGATTTCAACCCAACAACTGGTTCCTCAATGTTTCGGGAGATATGCAAACGGGAGGCCGTTCAGAACATCAAACTTTCGATAACAGGAGGAAGTAGTGAAAAGAAAAGACGAGACAGCCATGTCAGTTTCCAGGATAACAGATGTCTTATGCTCTATAGAAAGCCCCCGGAGCATCCTCCCCACACGAGCCACCAGAAAACCCCATTCAACATGTGGACTTACCTCAAACATCAGCCCGAGGAGGAACACCATAGCAACACAGGAAACAATATCTGCATGGTTCTGGATGACAAACTCGTGGCTCAACACCGGCGGGTTTTTGTTGGTCTTTTTTCGAATTCCCATGTCGACGCGGTTCGTCAAACTTTTGCTTGGCGCGGCGCAGATGCGGTTTTTCTCTCCCACTAACAGATGGTAGGATATTCCTCCGTGTCCCTCTGCTTCTTCCTACACGCACAGGGCCAGGCTGGTGCTGAATGGCGTGTCACTCTTGTTCTGGTGGGAGTGTCCAGGCGCCTGACCAACGAAACGACGCTCTTTACGCACACGAGAGGACACAGCTGGGCTCTCTGCCGCTGCCTAGAGGTTTGGAGGAGGAGGGAAAGCAGCTCACCAGCAGACCCAGCGGTGGAACCTACAACTTTGTTATACGGAAATGAAATAACCGTATGGTTCAGTATATATATTATTTTATCCAGCTGCGTTAGGGGAATACAGCGCCTATTATGACCAGACCTGGCAAAGATTAGAATCCATGGAGAAGGATTGCCAGCGGTCTGAGACTGCTTTGGGCAGAGGTGGAATTCGAAAAGGCCCAAGAAGGCCGAAGGTCCCCCTTGTGTCAATACAAAATGAGACTTCTATTGGAAGACTTTTAAAGCTTTCTATAGGCTTTATAAAACTTTTATATAACTGGATTGGCATCAATGCCTCTGTTTTTCTTGTTGGTTTTATGCTCTCATGGTGCCTGTGGCTACAGAGAACCGTTTTAATACAACTATATTAATTATTCAGAAAATGCACTAGTAATTTGTCAAAAGTTACATAAAAACTGTTGTTAATCATAGCCACCAGCACTTAACAGCACTTTTTTTGGGATGGCTTAACATCCCTGTTTGACTACATTCATGTGTTTAACTTGATTTTCTATTCTATTTGTTCATGAATGCATTAGTGCTTGTTTCTTTCCCGGTTTTGTAAATACAATTCTGTCTGCTTTTACCTTGTGATATCGTGGGATGTCTTTCATTTTTTTAAATAAATAAATTATACCAAAGTGTGCCGCACATGACAGTCCTCTTTTAACAAACCTTTAAATAAAAAAAACAATCGCCCCAAAAATAGATAATATTAAGATTATTTTGTACACATATATGATGATCTAAAATCATGGGAAAAAATTGTAATCACACAAAAGCTAAAACACGCATGTGAGCTGCAAATCACACAAACTGGTTTGTGCACCTGATATATTATCATATGACATCCAATCATTACATTAACTTATCATGCTTTGGGACACGTAGCATGCGCATGATGAGCACAAGCTCATCTTAGCCACAGGAATCTCTTTGTGGTTCAGTCTGGCCCTGATGTTATGAGAAATTAAAAGCAGAATCCGAAATCGCTTTATTGGCCAAATGTACAGAGTACACAGGAATGTGACCTGGAATCCCAGTGCAACACTGTGGTTTAAATAACAAATAAAAAAAAACGGCAAGGAAAAGTTACGTATGATAATTTCGGGTTTGGGTATTATCAATGAGAACCAGTCAAAAAAAGCTTTATCTACCTACAATAAATATGATTTATTAGGTACATATATACATATACATGACAGGTACATATTCAGGTACATATTCAGATTCAGATATTCAAACCACTTGAATTACAGGAAATGGACTGTGTGAGGCATCCTGTCACCCTCTCCACTGTCTGATCCAAGACGTGTGAATTTTTTTTTTTAATACCCTATGTGTTCTAGACACCAAAAGGGGAATCCTGAGGTGCTAACTGATGTTTCAGCTGACTTTAAAGTCAGGATGGACAAGTGTGACAGGGAAGTGGGAAACCACACACACACACACGCACACACACTTACTGTATGCACTCACAGGCGCAAGCTCTATTACGTAATCATATCTTCACGGGCTTGGCTATAATAGTCTGGTATTGACTGAGGAGGGGCTAAAAAGACGTTTCAAGGAAAGAGAAAGAGGAGCACTGTTTGAAAAGCTGCCTGCTGCCGTGGATTCCCAGCTCTCTGCCTCGGACACAACGTTACAGTAAGCTGCTTCTTAAAAGTTTGTTTTTGTTGTTCACATTGTTGTCAGTGATTGACTGCCTCTGTATTCTTAGTTGTGTGGCATTTTCTGGAGTTATTCCAGACAAAATTAAATCAATGTATCTGTGTAGGCTATCATGGAGTGCCCATAAATTGGCGTAGGAATCCGCTTCATGACCAATGATATTACAACTAACAGCTCATAATAAGAAAACTCCATGGACTGAATAGCAGCCTAGTTTGTTTGTTAATTTATCATCTCTACTTTTCATGACTTGTGCTCATGTTTTGTGTGTGAGCAAAAACTCAGACACGCAAACCTATGTACTTACGTAAGAGTTCCCTTGTATTATCTATAATTACTGTTGATAACACCGGTGATTATTTCTCTAGGAAATAAGTAGGTAAGTCAGTTATCAGCATGTGATGTGGTAACCATCTCATGACAGACTGAAGTGCAATATATCAAACAAAATCTTGTCCATATCCAGTCTCATTTTCTTGTGTTGTTTTTCCAGAGAGGCCAAAGCGACCCCTGAAAATGCAGAACGCGGTCAGCAGCTCTTTTGAGATTTATGTGAAAGTGTGAGCCATTGACACTTTTTTTTTTTTTGGATCCGCAAGAAAACTGAAGGCACAATGCTGCAAATAAACGACTCGTATTCCAAACTGCGATGGGTGCTAACTTTTGTGGGACTCGTCTTATATGTGGTGGACATTTGGAACGACATCTTACTGGCTCTGAAATATTTTTTAGAGGCACAATATTTTTGGAGTACGATGACCATAATCTTTGTCTTGAGCGGAGTGCTGATAACCCAGATCTTCAGTTATAAGTGGTTCCTGGATGACATGGATGAAGAAGGACAAGCAACAGCCGGCATGTCAAAGTGTCAACTTGCTACTTGCCATGTATTTTGCATGGGCGTCTTCCTCAGGTATGTAATGGATGTATTGACTGTAAGAAGGCTCCTATGGCTAAAGTCTGATCGTGAACACCACTTTTCAGAAGTCTTGAGCCACCTTTCATAGTCACACACTGCAGATAGATGTCTGAAAACTGTCTGAAAAAAAATGATAGGATCACTAACAAAAAAGAAAAGAAAAACAACTTATAAAATGTACAGACAGTTCAAAAGGGCTTTTCCAGGAACCCATGTATATTCTTACCTACAGTCTGATGCCTTTTGGTCGGGCCTTCTTGTTGTTTTCAACCTCTTGAAATGAGCTGTTGCCCCTGACTTTCAGTCCCATTCTTGAATAATTTGGCATACCCCAGTCTTTTCTCACTGTTGCCCTCCCAGGAAGGATATTTACGAGGAAGCGTCTGTGAACAGTAGACGGATCGACCGAAGATCTAGGTGCTGCTGGTCTTTGTTGGATTATTTTGTCCTCTATTAGTTTCCTGAAATAGAAATATAAAAATAGATAGATAGAAAAACTAGACAGAATACTACAATATCTAAACATTTCAGCTAAAAAGGAATTATCTTGCTGGTACAAAATTGACATTTATAAATTCATAGAATGTGTTTGTGTTACCTTAGGTCATTCCTAAAGAAGCTGAAATAAATAACACATCGTTGCACAGACTGCTGTGAACAAAGAGCCCAATGACGCAATATAAAACTGGTTGTAGACATAGAAACGCACAGTGCTATAGTTAAGTGCCTGTTTTGTGCTTGGGTGATTTATGTGACAATTTTAGAATAAGAACACATGTTTTTGCAATACTCTACAAAAGAGATTGAAAGTAACAACGAAACAAAAAAGGCGTCCGTTGTCCAAAGAAATACTGTTTAAAACCTTTTGTAAGAAGGGAGAACTATTGCTCGACAACCTCTTTATCATTTTACACAAAGAGCAAATATAAAGAACACAAAGAGCAAATATTAAGAAATTAAAGGTGGCTCAAGTGTTTTGGCACAGAAATGTGGATTTTGTGTGCACAACAGCTTGCTGCTCATATGACGGAGAGCCCTCATGTTGTGTGTCAAAACGTGCACACTAATAATCACGTACACTGATATGCCACGAATGGAATGTGCAAACTGGAATAGCCTCATTCAAGCTGAGGTGTGTGACATCCTTGCACATCCATCAGTTTGATTCAGTGGACAAAGAATGAATGAGTAATAAGGGTTTAGCTGGCTGTCAGCTGTCTGACTTGTGTTTGGTCTGTTGCTAGGTATTACTTCCTTCTGAAACAAGGATTCCAAGAGGTGTGGAAAAAAACTAGTTCATCCACAGCGGAGGAAATGAGGGAAAGGAATCACAAACTCTTCTGCATGGCCACTGATCTGAGCATGCTCAAACTGTTTGAGACCTTTCTGGAGAGTGTTCCTCAGCTCCTTTTACAGCTTTACATCATCCTGCGTCATCCAGAACTGTCAGTCAACCAATGTAAGTATGGACAAACTGTGCATTTCTCATATTACAGAATCACAATTTAGAACACACTTCCTTCCTTTTCAGATCTGTCTCTGGCCTTCTCCTTTGCCAGTGTGGCCTGGGCATTGGTGGATTACCGTCGCTGCCTGAGGAAATCTCTCCCCAGCATCAGAGAAATGCCCTCAGGAGCCCCCACAGCCGTCTACCTCCTCTACAAGCTGTGCACCATCACCAGCCATGTTCTGAGCTACAGCCTCCTCCTCACTCTCAGCCCCTACAGCGCAGTAGCCCTCACCGTTCTCTGGCTGTTAGGAACCACATGGGCACACTTGCTTCAAACCAACTTTTGTTCATCCCGAGGCCTTGAGCTTCTCTACCGGGCCGTCATAGGAGTCATTCTTGTGTTTACCTTTTTCAACGTGAAGGGACAGGACACCAAAGTTGCCATGATCATCTATTACATTTTCTACTCTGTGATCAATTTCACGACTCCACCATTGTTGTTTTTGTTAAAGCCAGAACTGCAGTCAAGCAAGCTTTTGCTGACAGTGGGAGGTTTGATCTTTGGAGGGTCGGTGTTGGGGCTGCTGTGTCTGGTGCTGTATTACCTCTTCCTGCACCCCAGGGGGAACTGGCCGGAGGCCGATGAGGTGGACGGCCTGGGAAACGAGGCAGAGACTACAAGGAAAATAAGAAAAGTTGAGAACTTTTTACAACCTTGATGAAGGCTCTTTCAAACTGATTTGAAGGCCTAAAGTGAAAGGACACTGTTAACACTGTATGGACAGTAAACTTAATATTAATATTAATGGGAGCGAGTGCAAATGCTTATTGTCTTGATGAAGTAAATTGTGTATTATTGTTACAGATGCAAATGCATGGATAACCATTATATGGTTACAGTCAATAAAATGCATCTATTTATTTATATACAGTAGACAAAACACCATAAAAAACAAAAATGCAACATTACAATGCAAAGAGCACAACAATGAACTTTTCAGGGAATGCCACAGTATTTCAGAAGAGCAGAGGCAACCACATAGTCTTGACTACTTCACTGTTCAGATATTTAATGGAGTATTACTGAAGGTTTCTGATGCTGGTTGTTATTTCTGCTCTTACTTTGAATGTTTCAGCCTACATCCTGCTGCAGTAAGTCAGCACATACTGTGTGTTCCTATGCATCTTGAGATTTTCCACAGATTTTCTTTTATGCCATTAAAAAAAAAAGTAATCTTTGAAACGTTTTTCTGTTCTTGTTTGTCTGTTTTCCTGCTGTAAAGATTCAGTTGGAAAAAAGGGGACTCTAGGATGCAGAACAGGATCAAAACAGAAAAAGAGTTATTGTACAAAAACATTTCTTTCATTAATCTTCATGGGGAATGTCAGCGGCAGATAATAAGAAGCCTGAGGCCCTGATGAGGAAGCAACAGAAATGTGAGAAAGGCAGTACACTTTTTTAAAGACCTCTAATCAGAAATTAGACTATGCAGGCAGACAGATACAGTAAACAGAAACGAATCAGTGAAGGAGGATTGTAGTGCTTGTTAACAACAGATAGTTTAGTCCAACCGAAAAAGAATACTTTTGCCTACTTCAAATTTTTTAACTGCAGACACTGAGTTTCTGTTCATACAATTTTTTTCTTTGTCAATGCTGCACATGCACCTGTGAACTAAGTTTTAGCAAAGCTATGAAAACAGCCCCCAACACACTGATGGCCACGGCTGAAGATTTCTACCACGTTCCTCAGCTGACTTTTATCAATTTGTCATCTATCTGTAATTGCAGTATACTCTTTTAGAAAAGATACACTGTCGATACAACCAGATATACCTGTTGTCAACATGCTAACGCTAACAAATACAAGACACACGTGGCAGCAGCATCATCTGGAAGAAGGGCTGGAAATAAATAATACATTTAAGCTTGAACACTTTTATTAAATCTGCTAAAAAAAGGTCTCAATCCTGACAGTAAGTGTGTGGCCCAATAATTAATAATAATAATATATTTCTATACACACAACTGAACTTAAGCTCTGAATTAAACAGAAAGCAGATTTTCAGTCTTCCATTTCTACAGACGTTTGCAATATATTTATCAGAAAACAGACAGAAATTAGATTTTTATAGTGATTTTACAGTGACCGTATATTTATGTAGATATTATCTCATATCTGTAAAGTACACACGTTTGGCACATGGTGGCGCCATTATCAAGGCTGCAATTTCCATAGAAAGCCGTGAGGTCAGATCCTGTTGGGTATAATTAAGATAGGGAATGTTCTACGAATTCCCACGAAAGGCTGAAGAGACTATTTTAATCAAATCTGAAATTGAGGCCAATTGAGGCCTTTATGAGGGAGTGGCAGATCCTCTCCCCCAGCGGGCACCCTGCCCACGGGTCAGAGGTCACCCTGCCCCCGGGTCAGCAGGCACCCTGCCCCCCCCCCCCGGGTCGGGCCGGCCTGCTGACCTGGAGTCAAACTGTGAATTCTGGCTACTGTTGGGTTCTTTCTCGTCCTAATCCCGTGAAACTGAAAGGTGGCAAATAAACATCCCTCCCCCTCCTTGAAAATGATGAAGGCAGAGGTCATGGATGAGCTAAGTAGAAAAAACAAACCGTCGCTAATTCTGTTTTGACTACCAGCGAAAATATTGTGTGAGTAAAGTCGGGTGGCTGCGGACGCTGGGCTGGATGGGGGGGAGGGGGTGAGGGGGGGGCAGTGTGAGCTCACCTGGGAGGAACGCTGACGAACCACAGGGTCTGCAGAGCACCGCGGTTGTGCCATTCCCCTCCCTCCCCTCTCTCTTTTGTCCCTTCCCCTCTCAGCCGAAGCTCTCTGACTTGTTTACTCCGAGAGGCCGCCTGAACTTTCCTCTGTCAGTTGCTCTCTGTTCGCAGCACCCCATAAAATGACGGATTTAAGTCAGGGGGGGTTTGGGGGAGGAAATCAACCTCTACTCGCCACACCAGAAATCAGATCTGGTGTGGAGTAGCAGACCATGGCTCTTCTTTTTATATTTGTTTTTTTTAAGCTCTTTAAATTTCTCTCTCTTTTTCCCCCCCTTAATCAAATTAAAAAATGGGCACCTTTTTCGAGATTCAATATATAATTCACACGTGTATGCAAAGATCAGAATGCAGGCCAATAACAGCCATCTTTTGGATAAACAGAGGGCTATCTGTTCTGATAGATGCTCCTCTCTTTGCCTCTTAATGAGCCGAGAAGACAAATGCAACGTAAACCCGCCGGGGGGGACTTTTACTGGGAGAAGACGCACGTGTTGTGTGAGTGGAGTCACGAGCTGTCCTACTCCTTTCTGTCATCCTTTGCTTTTATTGAACCACAGATACTTTTTGGGTTGGTTTTTTTTGCCGTGACTCAACACTGGTGGCGCTTGCCAGAGAGCAGTCACAATCCACTGGGATGACATGCGTGGAGTACCGCGTTGCATCCCCCCATCTAGAAGAAAACAAGCAGAAAGAACTCTGGCGTTGACAGCAGCTGTGTAATTTCCACCTCTGGAGCCTAAATCTCCTGCTCCGATCTCAGAGCTCCAGATGAATCTCCAGAGTCTAGCAGATCTTCATTTTTTTTCTTCTTTTTCCTGTCCAGTCTAAGGCTGACCGTGGCTTGGCGGACCTGGGAAACCGCCCTGTCCGTGCACAGCCCTGACCACTGGCCTCTCCGCAGCCACCAGAGTTTTCACCAAATCTTATCTTTAAGTTTTCCATCACCACATCCTGTAACAGCCGATGCTGGGGGGGGGGGGGGGGGGGGGGGGGGGGGTTGGCATTCCTGGCGCGCACCGTCCCCACAATTTGTACAGACACAATAAACCCACGGAGGCAGGCTGTTTTTCATTAGGGCTTCAAAGTCCATATAAAGCATGATTAATGAAAGCCCTGGGATGCTGTATGTCTTTAATTATTATGAGTTGACGGCCGCACCAGCGCCTCGGATGCATTAGCAGAGTTGGCGATCTGTACACGTCTGTCTGGCTCAGGCTGACAAGGAGGCAGCTTCGCCTCATTCTGGGAGAATTCCCCGAATGTGGAGGAAGGTAGGATGGAAATGATAAAAAAAAAAAAAAAACACCCCCCCCCCCCTTTTTTTTTCTGTAGTGGCACCGAGATTTCTTTAATCACTGTACATGCACACTTACAAATGAGTTTGGGCAGTGACAGATTGGAGAGCGGGCTGAGGATAATTACACGCAGTGGGCCGGTGTGTGATCTGAGCGTTACATTGCATTACCCAGAGGGTTCTGTAAATAAAGTCCTCATGCAATGAATGAGGATATTGTATGGAGCATTATGCCGCGCACAATAGCCCCAGCATTGTTACTGTTTGGATTTTGGCTTCAGAGTAGCCTTTAGTGTTGAATGACAAGACTTGTAATAGAGGAGTCAGTACAGGCTTTAAATTTTAAAAAGTTGATGACCTCACATGTTTGCATGAATCTGACATTAAGTTCTGATTTTCTTGCGGTGAAGAGTCATTTTCTGAGCTGACTTTAGTTTTGGATGGTTTACTGGTTGTGCTCAGGACCTGAAAATGTTTCAGACACTTGGTCTTTGGTGCCTTTCTGCATTTCCAGGGATAAGCTCAGAAAAAGATATAGCATGGCGGTGGTTAAGAGTCTGCAAGACCCTTTTCCCCATATTCCTGCAGAATCCTAAACAGATATGATGATACAAAAAAACATAAAACATGATAATATCATTTTTTTTGCCCTTAAGCATCTAATTCATTACCCTTGTGTAAAAATAAGTAACTAAATGTTTGGACCGGTAGCTATTTAATCAGTCCTGCACGTCAGTTCAGGAGGATTTCATCTGTTTCTGTCCACACATCTGCCTCATCTCCGAGATGCTGGAGAATGTCTTCCTATGAACCCGTCACTATCAGGTCCTATCAGAAACATTTATGTTGGATTCATGTCTGGAATTTCACTTGGCCATTCAAAAACATTGTTTACTTATAAGGTTAAGGATATAAGGTTATGAGGATACGGTTAATTTCACATCTGGTCTTTTTTTAATGTCCTCAGATGTCTATAATTTATGAGCTGGTTTACCTGGAACTTGCAATCTTTCCCTATGGATTCAACCAGTTTATTGTCCAAACGACAGTTCTCAGTGGCTGTGACTGTGAAGAGATGTTCAATATTTAGGATTGTGATCAGTTTGGCACTTTGTCACCATCTGAGTTTTTTTTTTTTTTACATGAACAGATGTGACTTGCCTTTAAAGGACTTCCGAGAAATGACTGTTGCAGCTGTGAAACAAAGCGTTCCCCCCAGTGAGAGCCTTGTCAGGGCAAGCAGGACACACAAACACAGAGCCAGGAGGAAGCTCATTTAGAGCAGGAGGTTTATGTATCACAGTCATGGACAATCAGCGAGCATTAACATAATTGTGCGACCCATCCCGGCCCGCACACACACGGCCTCGCTCACACGTGCGTACACACAGATAGAAAACAGAAGCCGTGTTAGTGTTGGGCATACTCCCATGGCACACAGGATGATGGATTATCGAGTGTTCCTGTTTATTTATGCAGCAATGGATGGAGGAACACGGGCCAAGACCTCATGCATATACAGCGTATGTATGGCAAAAACAATCAGCGGTAAAATAAGATCACATATTATGAATGAGCAATAGCTTCACACAACCCCCCCACACACACACATATCTACTTGCAGGG